CCCCAAATAACCAAACCAAATCTGAAGTTGACAAAAACTGATTCGTAACCCTTTTGGTACTAATGTTGGAGAATGGTCCCTGGTCAAAGTGGTCCCTGTTCAAGTGGTTCCTGGTCAAAAAAGCGGTTGGGAACTACTGCTCTAGAGGTACCATTGTGACTTCAAATGCCAGCCTCTCGCATATCAAGATAGTTGTCTTAATAGCTCTGTTCCTTTGTGATAAATGGATTGCCGGTAAGAAATGGGCTATTCAAATGACAGTAACAATGATGATGGTATTTCTTATCCTTGTGCTTTTATGTTTTCAAACACTCAAGATTATAATGCCCATGGGTAATGGTTATTTTCCTTGTATGCTGGTGTTTACTTCACAGAGAGAAGCAGAAGATATACAGGCAGTCCCCAAGTTATGAACATGATAGGTTCTGCAGGTTTATGAACTAGTATGCAAGTCAGATCAGGTACATTTTAAAAGTCTAACTGCAGCTAGCAAGATATACACTTTGGCTAGCATAAGGGTTAACACTCCTGTGGTGTTTCTTTTGCTGTCTGTGTCTGTGTAGAAGATTTCAATTCACTTTCTGTCCCTGTGATAATTGAATTTTAAAAAATGTGGTTTGTTGCGGAAACAAATATTGGTGAGAAAGTTTCAGTGGAGACACCTTTTCCCCATGATAACTCTTCCAGGAGTGAATTTTCCATCCAAGGGGTAGATTTCTCTCACTTCTTGTCTCACCAGCTTAACTACAAGCCATTTGTAAGTTGGGTGTTTGCAACTCAGGGACTGTCTGTACATGTTCAATCCACAATAAAATATGATGCCATGTCTGCAGTGTAATATAATGTGCCCCAAGGAGAAAATACATGTGTGTGTATATGTGTGTGTGTGTACCTATTTTCTCTTTCAAGTCATTTCTCCCTTCATCTTTTTGTTTAGTTAGGTTGGCTTACCACTCATCAATCAGTGCCCATGTCCTTGGAATTATGCAAACATTCCTGATTTATGTTTTGCTACCTTTATACTCTATAACAGGCATGGGCAAACTTTGGCCCTCCAGGTGTTTTGGATTTCAACTCCCACAATTTCTAACAGCCTATGAAGTCCAAAACACCGGAAGGGCCAAAATTTGGCCATACATGCTCTGTAACCACACTATTCAAGCTTCACAGGCTGTCCATGCCTTATAGAGCTCCCCCAATCACCTCCAATGGGAAATAAAGTTGCATCAACATTGTAGAATTCATGCAGTTTGACTGTGCTGGCTCAATACTATGGAATAATGGGAATTATCATTTTACAAGATCTTTAGCGTTTCTGCAAAATCAT